GCACTCGACATCGCCCTGTCGGCTCTGGAGCGCTACCCGGTGCTGGAGTGCCTCGGCATGCAAAAGAGTGCCCTACAGGCTTGACATTCTTGACGGCTATCACAGTCAATGCTAAAGCGGCCTCCCGGCTAGACGGTCGATCACTTTCAGGAGCCTGGAGATCGTACACTGTGAGCTCGGCCCGAAGCTCCCGCTGCTGCTGAAGGCCGTTGCGTTTCCTTTGTGCATTTTCCGAGTTCTGTGCTGCATGCAGAAGCCAGTCGCAGCATGCCGCAGCCCAACCACTTCTCGGCAGGCCCTGGAGAAGATCAAGCTTCCGCAGCTTCACCTGCAGCAGAACGAGCTGTTTGAGGAGGGCACCCGCCAGGTCATCGAGGCCCACCGCCAGTTGCCGATGCACAGATCCATCATGGAAGCTCAGCGATGCACTCCAGGCCTTGCAGTCCAACGGGACGCTTGCGGCACTGAGTCTCGCCCACGACTGCATCGGCGTTGCTAATGTCAAGGCTTTGGCCGAGGCCTTCGAGCTCTGAGATGAGCGGGGATCGGATTCAGAGATTTGCAGACCGAAGCCGAAGCGCGATGCCTGCAACTCTGCACATAGGCTCTGCGGACAAACAGCGCTTTGATCGAGCTGAACCTGAGCCACGCCGGCCTAAGCATCGATGGCATCATTGCTCTCGCGGAGGCCCAGGGACAAGTTGTACAGGCCTTTCAAGGCTTCCGCTGACAGGAAGAGTCGCTGTGGCTGCGAGCAAACCCAGTCATCCTGTGCAGGCAATCATGCAGAATCGGACCCTCAAGCAGCTGAGCCTTGCTGGAAGCAAAATCGGGGAGGAAGGCACTTTCGCCCTTCTTGAGGCTGGCCGCTACTATTGTACTTGCAGCAAGCTCACAGCCACCCCAGAGAGCTTTTTCCTAAACCCTAAACCCTTCTTTTCCAGCGAGTCTAGAGCACCGCCCTGCAGGCTCTCCAAATAAGCGGGGTGGAGCGGCAGCTCGATCTGACGGGCTGCGATTTGGGCAAGGCCGCCGTGGTACTGGCCAGGGCCCTCCGGACCGGCCAGGCGGGGTGACGAGAGCTCGTGGTTCTCTCACAGCTTCCCCTCTTCTCTGGCTGTCCGCTGTGGGCGCCTTTTCTCTTCAGGTGAAGGGCACCGTCACCCACCCAGCGGTGAAGTTCCTGTGCATGTTGGAGGCTCGCGGATGCTCGCGGCGCGCTCTCTCTCTCTCTGAAGCGTGGCAAGTTCTTCATCACACTTCGGGCCCGACCGACTGAAGTCAACGGCAGGGTTCTTAAGGGCAAACTGTCTCCCCAAGAAGCCTGGAAACCGGAACCCCTCCAATTACCACCCGCCCGACACGACCTTGTCAATTGTAGTCACCTTTGCTCGCCACAATCGCTCGTTTTTCCTGGTCTGTAAACGGAGCTCTTCGGACAGCACCCACGGCCCCTGCGCCGCCGGCCGCACGCAGGACGAAACATTCAAAGAGCTCGAGGAAGCGCAGAAGCTCGAGCTCGATCTCTTCGGCCGCGGGCTCGGCTCCGGGAGGCCCCCAGGCCAGGCCCCCTCCAACCGGCGTGCGCTCCCACACCGAGGCGACGAGGCGTTCCGGAAACTCTTCGCGCCGCTCTGCCGGGCCCTGCCAGAGCTGAAACTTCGAGAGCTCGACCTCGACCTCGGCGCCCACCACCGCCACTTCGGTTCCGGCCTCGGCGGCCCTTTCCGGAGCGCGCGGAGCGGAGAAGAAGAAACCCTTCCGCTCCCTTCCGCTCCTAGGCGATGACGAGGCCCGGGACCTGGCCGCGGGCCTCGGCCAACAAACGGAGCTGGAGCGGCTGACGTTGGTTCTGTCTATAAACTCCCTGGGCCGGGGGGCTCAGCTGCGCGTTCCTCGTTCCGCTTTTTTGACTTCCAGCTTGTTGGTAGCGGCCGCCTCCCACTTGGGGTTGGGCCTGCAAGCCGACCCCATCCCTGTATCCATCTCCGTTCTTTATCAGCTTCTTGGAAATTGGTAATAGGCCTTCTTGTTTGCCACATTCTGCTGCTGTAAACTGCAGCCAGGTACGCAGCCCACCATGAAGTCCCAAGCCTAGCTCATCCTAGTAAGTCTAGCCTGCTCCCTGAACGGGCCTCGACTCCCGTGAGGTGCTTCCGAGTCTTGGATTCACGCGGCGGCTTTCTCGAGATTTCGATTCCGAAAACCCTCCTGCCCAAATGCCCGTTCCCGTCCCTTCGGGAAGGCCGCCAATTTCCTTCCCTCCGCTGTGCCTCTCGACTTTTTCCAGCTGAAAAAGGCAGCTGGAAGCAGCACTTGAGCAG